ATATACACATATAATTCATTACACAGTGAAATATTTCAAACCTTTCTTTCTTTTTGATGATGATTGTCTTTTAAACAATGAAAAAAACAACTTTTTTTTTTTTTAATTTCATTTGAAACCTGGTGTCACAGCCTGATCAGCTGATCATCTCCTGGACATGAGCTACAAATGTCTTATTCCTCAAGTCCAGCCACTCCTGAACCACAGAAACATCAGAAGTGTCTTACCTGCTGAGGAGACAAAGAACTGGACTGTCTCTCAGTGGTCCAACGTCCACTTTTCAGGTTAAATTAAAGTTTCATGTCATTTATAAATCAAGGTCCCAGAGGAGAGGTCCAGAATCCATGTTGTTGAAGTCCAGAGTGAAGTTTCCACAGTCAGTGCTGGTTTGGGTCCATGTCCTCTGCTGGTTCTGGTCCACTGTGTTTTCTGAAGTCCAGTCCTCGCAGCATCTAGCAGAACATTTTAGAGACTTCGTGCTTCTTTCTGCTGATGAGCTTCATGGAGATGCTGGTTTTATTTTCCAGCAGGACTCGACTCCTGCCCACACTGACAAAGGTACCAACATCTGGCTGAGGAAGATTCTCATTTTTCACTGAGTTTTGTTTTTTCATTATTCATAAGACATATTTATCAAAATTACAAGAAACAAAAGCTTGGAATATTTCACTCAGTGTTTAATGAATCTGTGTACCTGTAATATTTTTTTGAGTTTCACTTTCTGAAACGACAAAAACAGGTTGAACTTTTTCACAATGTTCTAGTATAAAACACACCTATTCTGCTTCATTACATCAGCATGGCTTTGTAACAGAGACCATTTTCATTCTGCAAAACTACTTTCACATTTTGATTAAACTCAGTTTAAATATTGAGAACATTTGTGTGAATAAATACCAACAAGTTAGTGAGATGTTAGATTTGGAATAAAACTGGTCTCTGTAGCAGAAAAATACAAACCTGGTTTATAAAAAGACACTTTATTGCAAGTATGCACTTACAAAAGTTACAATAAAAGTTACAGTATAAATGTCTGCAATATTGTTTTACAACAGTTCAGATTTTCTGTAAAGTTTAGCTCAGTCTTGTTAATTTCAAAGTTCAAAATATCTAACTATTGAAGAACATAGAAATGTTCCCAGGCACAAAGTCAGGAGAAGTGGATTCTGTTACATGTTCATGGCTCCAGTGGTCCCAAATCTTCATCCCACAATCATCACAAAGGAATACTTCTTAAATTAAATAAAACCATCTGTTTTTTAGATGCAGATCACAAACATCTGCATCTTTTCTGTAGAAAATAAATGTTTAAATTCACTGTTTTGGAGTGGAAATTATCAAAATATAAAAATCACAGTTAGAAACCGTGAGAAATAGTGTAACTTTCCCGTTGTGTTAGCAGCTTTGTGTTATACCATGGCGTTGCTCTCACCAATTTTATCCACCAGCTGAAAGACAAGAAAGAAAAAAGTAGTTATTAAGAAATATGACCATTTCATTATTACCAAACAGGCATAAGGCGAGGGGATAATGTCACTTTTATGGATCCTGAGCTAAAAATTGATGATTGTTAAACTGGTTGTAGCTGAAAGTGAGTTACAACAAAAAATGTTCGACCATCACTTCCTCTTGTTTTGGGAGGGTTTTATGTTTATGTTTATGTTCATATTTTTCAATCTGTGGTGCCGTTTCACACAAGACTTACAGTACTGATCCCCGGTAAGCTGAGCAATGATCCAAGCACAGGTACTCTTCTGATGAACCCGACCGCCACAGGGAAGAACCCCCTGTAAACAGACAATAGGAATAATTTAAGACGCAGGAATCCACGGTGCAAGTCAAAACGAGGCATACTTCGTCAGGCAGAACTGACCTGAATAAAAGAAAGAAACCGTAGATCTCCAGAACAACGCCAACAATCGGCCAGCCGATCAGAACCACGAAGACTCCTCCCAGGAAAAAGCCGGTGGCTTTTGCCTTGTGCCTCTGGAAGAAGAACCTGAAGGTGCGCTCCAGGCCGATGACGAAGGACAGGCCAGACACAAACAGAATCTGCATGAGGAGATCAAACATCTCAAGTTCAACTTTTCACTGAAACTCTGACACAACTGACTGCTGGGTCAACTTACATTTCCTATGGCGAGCAGAGCTTTATCAAAAAATAGCATCATCCCAAAGAAGAGGAAAAATACACCAAACCCTGTCAACCCCATCCCGATTTCTGCAGGATTTAAGAAACAAAAGAAGCATTAGTTAGTCCTGTTCCTTTAACCTGATGTTAGAAACAGAATAACAAGCTGAAACCTGTGAACAGAAAAAAACTGCTAGAGAGTGAGTTTAAAATACTGGTGGAAAACTAGCAGGAAACTTTATTTTAAGGCACTGAATTGAAAAAACGATAACTCCATAGTGACGTCACTTTGCTCTCAGCCAATCGTCTTTGAGCTGTTAGCCTCATACATTTAGCTGAACGCGGTTAGACACTTGAAAACGGGAGCAGCGGTAAAACGGAAACGGCTCTTACTTTGCGAATCCGTGAGAGAAATCATTTTGACCGCTCCTGGATAATATACCAACACACACGAAGGTCGTAAACGCTCAAAGTTACAATCATCAAAGAAGATGGGCTGAGTTAAATGATGCTACGACGACAGCAGTGGCACCGGCGGAGGCAAAGCGCGTTACGTCACTTGTAGCCACGCAGGCCGCCAAAGATCGTCTATTTAAGGAAGCGGAGTTCAATCTTTGTGGGTTTACAGATATTTTTACGTAGTGATCTTTCTTTTCATTACGATTTCAAACTGTATTAACAAAAATATGCTCTAAAGTCTGTCATTTAAAAAATGGGGCAAGTTTTGGCACATTAAAATTACTTTTTTGATATACAGTACTACAAAAATGAACTGTAGAAACATCAGTACATTTTTGTACTATAGCTTTTACACAAATATATTTGAAACTAAAATTACACTACCTTATAAAAATGAATATAAACATGTTTAGTCTAAAAACCATAAAGGAATGTTTACATCTTTAACATAACTTCACGCAGACTCTCACTGGTACATTTTCATCTTTAAATCACTTCTTGGTCTGTTGCCTTCATACATCTCCTCCTACATGTCTCTGCGAGTGCAGCTACAGCGTGCGCTCTCAGGACATTATTACCTGCAGTGTTCCCTCAGTGAGGACTGAACTAGGTAAAAGGGCCTTCTCCTACTCTGCTCCTGTTTCCTGGAATATCTTACAAAAAGATCTGAAGCTCTTGACCTTCACCTCTCTAAGTGGCTTCAAACATCTGTTAAGTTCCTGGAAAAAAATAACGCAGACATGTTCCTGTTTTTAGTTTTCTACACTAACAATCTAGCTGTGTGTGTGTGTGTGTGTGTTTGTTACATTTTCTTTTAATCACCATTTTATTTTCATTTGTTAAAAAAAATTAATCTCAACTTGTACGCATCCTTTGACTGTCTATTTTTGTCTTTGTTTTCTGCTGTTATCGTCACTCTTTGTTAAATTCAGGTCTCTCTTGTAAATGAGTCCCTGAGGTTCAATGGGATTAATATGTATAAATAAAGGTTGAATGAATCTTGTAAAAATACATTACGCTTGTTGATTTCCATGTGTGTATTCTTATTTTATGTATTTGTTTATTCTTATGTGCATTTTTGCAAGTTTGTGTTCCCTTTAATATAAATTTAATCAAAAAAACAATTTTTTAAACAAAACATTACATTTTATACATTTCATCCTTCATAAATCATCTCTATATGCTTAACTTTGGTTACATACAGTTTATAAACCAAAACAACTCGTGTTTAGTTTCTGGGACAGAGAAATATGGACAGAGTAACTGCACTTCGCTTTTTCAATATCTGCATACGTACTGACGTGCACGTTCACGTGCTTCATAAATGCGCATTTATTGCGCCGTTAACGTATCAATTCTCCGTTTTTTGCGGTGATTGCTCTAAAGTTAAATTTCTGTACGCTCTAAAAATTAGTTTCTGTAATAACAATAATAATGTTGGGCCTCACAATGACGCGTCAAGCCTACATTAACGCCCTGTTTTAAATGGACTACAACTACCATGAGCTCGTTGAACAGGAAGAGCAAAGAGTCAGACGTGTTCAACTGACCGAAAGATCGACTTCCTCTAAAACATAAACCGGTTTCTGTTTAAGTATGCGCCTCTCGGTTCCTCGCCTGGAGAAGTAGGGAGTGTGTTCGGCTGTAAACCATCATGGCGACTGTGGTGGCCGTCCTGCTGGTTTTTGCCGGCTGCTGCAGTAATGTGGTGTTTCTGGAGCTGCTTGTGAGGTCGGTGACAAAGTTCGGCTGTCGGTGTGGACTCGTGCAAAATACACAGCTCGTTGTGCTTTAACGCGCTCCTACACGGAGATGTTCGGCTGCACGAGCTTGTTGTCAGGAGTGAGTTAATTACAAATGTGGTGCCAATAACCAAATGATAAAAAATGCACAGTGGCTGGGATTCATTTAGGTTTTAAGGAAGAGCTGCTTTGTTTACTAAAGACCAGAAATAATAATAAAAAGTGACATCTTCTAGATCTTAGTCACTTCAGCCAATCTGATGGATTTAAAGGACCATTGATGTAAGACACAACTTTAATGGATTTATTTAGTTCAGAAGCATAAACTGGAGTTTTCCCACATCTCGTTTAAAGCGACTCTTTGCAAAGACTTGAGTCTAACCTGTGTAACTGGCTGCCATGTGCCATGTGTGTTTGTTTACCTACACAGCCCTGAAAATAGAGCCTGTGTCTATTTGTCTGGCTACTTTTATTAACACCAATGGCAGTCATGGCATTAAAGTATTCAGAGTCCAGATGGTGCTCATGAAAGGACTCACGGGCCAGAAAGTTTAGAATAAAAGAAAATTAAAAACTTTAAAAAGCCTGATTCCCCCCCTCATTTTTAAACTCAACAACTTGAACTTTTGGGGACAGGTTAAAAGTTTGGCTTAAATTCTTGTAGATCTAGAAGAAGCTTCATAAACATTAACGTTGTTTTATTTGTTTTTGTTTTAATTTAATTTATTAGATTCTTTGGGGTTTATTATTTGTTTTCTTATGCTTGGAAAGTTCATTTTTATTTATTTTCAGAGGCAAAGGCCTAAATGAGTTTCTTCTTTAAGAAAAGGGGGTGCCACTTCAATCACCGGCCCAAAATGGTCAATGAAGTTCTGAAAACCCGTCCAGCTGGCAGTCGCTTAAACATATTCATAGGTCTGAAGAGACACAGATGAAGTTGATCAACTTGTATGTTGATGATACCACTTTATATTCTTTAAAAACGTCCAATTTCTCCCCATTGGTTATCAACTGAATTTATTTTAAACACTTATTATATTTAGCCTTTTTATGAAGTATTATCTAAAATTCTACTTTTCGGTAGAAGTCAGTGAAGGTTTATGTTAGGATAAGGGATAAATTATAGCTAAATATTTGCATTGTACTGAATTTTGCAAATTTTGACAAGATTATTTCCGTCTGTTTTGCTGTTAAACCTAAAAATGATCTTTTAAAAAGTATCACCATTAAATATAAAGAAGGTCTCCATCAACCTCTTAAGCTTGCGGGTCTAAATTATACCGTTGTTTAATTGCAGATGTGGGCCTCACAAAATCACTCCAAGGGCCGCAAATGGCCCTCGAGCCTCACTTTGGACACCCCTGGTTCATCCAAATATACCTCTCGTAAAATCTGAATGGTTTCATACCTTCTTGTGTTTTTTGTCTTTCA